CAAGGCACACAAGAGGATTCCAATATGCTGCCTGGATGCCCAATGGAATGCTGGAGATCAAACAATCAATGCCATTTGGGAGGTCATCAAGTGGAGTTTGGAGAGCCTGGGCCAAGGCAAGCATCCCACTGCAAGACATGATGGGTCAGAGTTCTTGCCACATCAAGATGACTCCAGAAAGAACAGGGCAGGCCAGAGCCTGAGCAAGGCTGCCCTGGTTTACATCAGAGCCGACTGGGACTTCTTTTGTAAGTGGCTGGCAGTGCCACAATTCAATGTAAAAACTGGGATGTGTTGGATGTGTGCTTGCACCCCTGAAGAGTGGAGAGCATCCTCCAAGGAGCAGCGACACAAGCAGAGCCTGACTAAGGCAGACTTCATCAGTAAACATCTTGTTGGAAGGAAGAAAACAATCCCACCAATCTTCCATCTCCCAGGCATCGACAACAATTCATTGCAGCCAGATTGGATGCATTGTGTGGATGAAGGTTTTGGACCCTGTGTGGCAGGGAACATATTGTACAGTCTTTTGCCAGGACATGGCGCCAATAAGGAACAGCAGATCAAAGGATTGTGGGAACACATCCTTGACCTGTATGGGAGGTTGAAAATCCCATCAGACAAAAGATTGTCCAAATTAACATACAAAGACATAAAAAGAGACCAGAAGGCACCAGAGCTGCAGGTCAAAGCTTCAGCCATGAGGCATTTTGCTGTCCTTTTAGAACCTCTTTGTCGAGAGAAGAGCCTGCGCGAAGGCAACCTTGAACAAAAGGCCATCTACAAGGTGGCAAAATATGCCACCAAGATGTACCACCACCTCGAGGTCTTCAACCCTGCAGAGCTTGCACAGCAAGGTGAAAAACTGGTGAGCCAGTACATGGCTTTGGAAAAATATCACACCAAACTCGACTCTGACAGCAACCTGTGGCATGCCAAGCCCAAGGTGCACTTGCTGGGGCACATCCTTGACAAAGTTGCTGGTGAGGGTATGAACCCAAAAGACACATGGAACTACAAAGATGAAACATTTGGAAGCAAAATTCAATCCTACTTCTTTAGAAGAGGGGGCTCCCCAAATGCTGGGTCAGATGCAGAGAAAGTTCTTTTGTCATTCATGAGCAATGAACCTTGGCTAGGCATCCTTGAGCCTGAAGCAGGCACTTGATCCATCTTGGCCCTACACAGCCAATGTTGAGCCTGACCAAGGCAATCCTGAGCCTGAGCAAGGCCAACATTTCGATGTTTCACTGACTGACATCTTACTCCATGCGCAAAGGAAAACATGTAGCTTGCTGCACAATGCATGTGTTCCATGTCTAAAAAACTATTGTTTCTAACTTTGAAGAAGCTCTTCTTCGCACATCAAAGAAGCGCTTCTTCAATTTTGAAGAAGCTCTTCTTCAACCTCTAGAAGCCTACTTTTGGGGAAGCCAGGTTTTAGAGCTTCGAAGCTAGGTTTCAAAACCTAGCTTCCAAAACTGAGCTTCTTGGAGGCTTAGGGGAGGGTCTTGGTACCTGCACTTTATGGGATCTCTGATCTCAGTTCGTATCTCGGACAATGGGTAGAAGCAGTTGTATTTTATCGGATCATTGTCAACAAGCAAGGTACTTTAGAGGATCCTTGTAGTTTCACAACTCCCACCAGACCAAAAAGCCGTGTTTGGCGGATAATCATGACCACCGTCCTGCACGCCGTCCAAATGAACCATCCGTCTTGGGTATCCTATTCCCTTGGGCCCGTGGAGGGGGTTCATAGTTGTAGGTGCCGGATGTTGCAGGACGTTGCAGGCCAGGCACTTACATACCCGGTCGGGCTCCCAGTCATACCTCCAAACCGGTTCGGTATGACTGGACCCGACGTTTTGGCACCCAGGCACCCAACTCCCAACTCCCACCGAACCGAACCGAAACGAAGGCAGGTGCGACGACTGGAGCCCAAGGTCCGGGATAGTGATGACAGGTCTACTGAGACAGGTCCACAAAAGAACAGAAGACATCCACAAGTCCACGGGACGAGTCCAACGGTCACCCACGAAGAAGCCCCAGCAAACGACGAATTGGTCTCGTCATAGGTGGGGGATGTTGGGCCATTTTGGTGTACGGTGTGACACAAAGTATCTGAAGGTTTGCTAATAAACCAGAAGGTATCAAAGGTATCTGATGGTTTGTGTCAAAGGTATCAAAGCCGAGTAAACTTGGAACGTTTCACCACCTCGAGAAAACGTCCAGCGAACCCTGTGAACGTGGCAGGAAAATTCACATACACTACCTAGATCGCATGCTCAATATTCAGCCTAAATGCCCTTCAGTTGAGCTGTGGCTGCTCAATAGTCATTTTGGTGATTTGCTCTGATGGATGTTCCCCATGTGCTGATGTTGACTCGCCCGGTCAGTGACACACCACCCGGTCAGTCCTTGCATCGAAGCTTTGCCTCTTTTCGCGAGGTGGAAGTTCGCACATTCTTGCAAGAACAGGATCTCATTCTCAACCGACAAACATTGATCTTGTAAACATCGGGTGCGGTGTGGGTGTGTCTCATAGTAGAGGGACCCACATCACTTGATGTTTCAAAGAAAGAGCTGAGGTCCGTGTGAAGTGTTTCAAGAAACACCAGTGCCTAGGTCTGTTTCGGTCTGTTTCGGTCTGTCTCCAGTAAAGGCACTTATCAGAGCTTAGGTCTGTTTCTGATAAGCTGTTTTCAATCACTGCTAAGCTGTTTTCGCTCACCTGATAACACGGAGATAACCTGTTTTCTGAAGACTTCACAGGTCGGTCGGGACCGGTCGTGGATCCAAAAGCAACGGCTTTCACCCATTGGAATCCTTTTAGTATGGAATACATCTGAATTCCATACTAAAGGGTCAATGTAAGTGAATCCTTATAAGATGGAATATTGACTGATACTTCATATGGAAACCATGGACTTAACGCTTAGGCTTGACCCTTAAAACGAGTGAGTGAAAACTCCCCTAAGGCCCTAACATCTTCCCTGACACACCTGTCACGCACAGCAGCAAACCGTAAACCTCAAAAGGGATTCCCTAACAAGAAGCAATACACCGTGATCAACAAGTGATTGGTCATAAAAGGAATTGGCCTATTTAATCGATTGACATTGTTGGGCCCAGAGTGGTGCCCCTATCCAAGTGCAGGCCTTGCAACAAAAGGTCTCACAGTAAGAGTAGTCTTCTGACCATTTGGACGCTCACACTACCACTCTAAGGCATCCACTGTGGCATCATACCACTAGAGACAAGCTGAATTGCAATAAGTTGGCTGGTCGTCACTGATAGCTATGTTTGCCAAATCTATTGCGGCACGTAGTGGGAAACCCTGCACTCGTGTTTTAGAATAATAGAAGGTCGGCCGTTGTTGGAGCGCCAGGTCATGGGCAACCAATCAAATCGTTCAGCGTTGTGATAAACCCCTGTGGCTCCAGGTCCCATCTCCTGAGGTTCGGTGGTATTACCGTGCCCCTTGGACCTCCCTTAAGCACCCACCCGTGCCCATTGGCCCGAACCGAAGCGGTTCGGTGGGCCGAAAGGACGCCCGTAGAAGGTCGACACCATGGCGGTCGTCACGTTTTACCGAGCTGGATTCAGGTTCCATAAGGTGTATATAGGTGTAATACGCCTGCGACAGACTGGAAAGGCTGCAGGTTTTTAGCGGGATATTTTTTTATTTTTAGTGGGATGTTTTTTTTGGGGGGGTTGAGTCTTCTGATTCTGTTGCTTTAGACAGTTTCTCATTAGGTCTACTGGGTTTTTACGTGCTACTATTGGGTGTTTGAGCTAAGTGATCCCTCTACGTGCTGGTGGCCCATAGCATCCGCCTTTGTGGGGTCTTCCACGGTTCATAGCTGGTTTGAAGTCGACTGTTCGCGGGAGGCCCAGGGTCAGATCGGAGCGTTTTGCTTCGATGTGCAGCAAAGCCTTTGAAGTGCAATTTCCTTCCTTCCTTGCTTCTCCGTCTCCTTCCTTCCTTCCTTCCTGCCTTCCTTCCTTCCTTCCTTCCAGAGCCCATAAAAGAAAAAAACATCCCACCCCCCAAAAAAAACATATCCCACGGAAATATGCCCTCCGGAAGGAAATACTATACAACATCCCGCTCTTTGATATGGTACATCCACCCCCAAAAAAAACACTCAGAGCTGGTCAGCACTGGTTTTACTCGCTTGGTTCATTCTCCAAGTTACATCATCCCTAAAACCTGAGCCGACCTCCAGGGCTTTGGACCCCTCACCACTCCAAAATCATGGTTGGATTCCTATCAATTTCTAGGTCATTAAAGAATTGTTTTCATTTTCCAATTGTTGAATCAGTGAAACAAATCTCGTCCCTTTCGCCAAACCTGAGCTGATGACTCTGATCTGGACCCCAACCCATCGGTCGCTTCGGTCAAGCAGGTTGTCGCTCTCGTCGGCCTTCAGCCAACTCGCGCAGGTTGGGATCTACCTGCAAACAGGGATGACTCAGGCTAAGTCCATCGCTCTACATCCACAAAATAGGACGCAACCTATATAGACCCCCAAATAGATAGAAAACAGTAGATCCCCACTTAACACGTTTGCATTGGAAACCATTTCTATCCATTTGGGGGACCTCCAAAAGGCTCCAGTTGGACCTCCAGTTGGACAAAAACATCGCAAAAGAAAGAGCAGCATACGCAGCGCGGCTGGACCCCATTGGTGGTCGTCCATCCACGTGAAGGCTGTGCGGGTGGATTCCTCCAGGCCCTCCGTACACAAGAAGCCATAAGGATTAAAACGACTCCGTACACGTTTGCAAGGCCACCAATATGGGACTTGTGGGACAATATCCAACAAATGCTTGGGTGACTGAAGTGAATCTTAAGAGCCTAACCACCCTGGAAGAATTCCATCGAATATCTCTGGTCATAATTGATCTAATCACCAACCAAATCTAAAACAAACGAGAAAACCCCCAACCCCCGCTTTCTCCAGCTTTTATAAGTTATATAGCAAAGCTCCAGGACCTTAGCGCTCTGCAGTGCTGAAGCGCCGAGCGTCGCGCCGCGCCTGCTGTCCACTGCGTTCCAACAATTCGACCAGGTCGCGGCTCAGTGGCGCCAGGTTCCTGTCGATCTGCGCGGGTGCTGGGAAATCGGGTGAGAGAAACACGGGTGCTGAGCTTCTTTCGGTGTGCTTTCTTTTTTGCAGGGCCTTGTTCCGTTCGTGATGCCCTTTGCTCCGTTCGTGGCGTTCGCCCGTTACTTGTGACAAACAACTCACAGACCGGCGATCGCCGGTGCCGTGGACCGGTCGGACCGTCTCCTGGTGAAGAAGGAAAAGGCGGTGCCGGACCTCGGGGGATGGTCGGGGCTTGGTCTCGAGTTGGGCGAGTTGGGGCGATCGGTCTGAGGAGATGGCACCATCGAATCACCAGAGGTTGAAGAACCCTATAGACTATCCTTTACCCCTGTAGGGTCCTAGTTCAGGTTACTTAACCTCTGTAGGCATGGCGTTGGATGGATTTGGGGTCCTTTGTCCGATGTAGCGAGCTCCAAATGTGAGCGAACCATGGATGATCAAGTTGGATGACTCTGGACCTTCCTTGACATGGCGGGTTGAACTCAGAGAACAATTCGCTAGTACACGGTCAACCCTGGGATGATCAGTATTGTTGTACAAAAGTCCAGTTCAGTCTGGGCCATTCGATGAAGGTTGAGGGTGTCATGCTGATGAACACCGCACACAGCTGCTGGGAGTTCCCTGCTGCTGGGGTATCCCTTTGCAAGAGTTGCCCGCAAGATGCCCACCAACATGGTTCCTTGTCTACTACAACCAAATGGTCCAAGAGAGGTTAAGTGACCTGAAAAGGACCCTGCTAGAGTACCTATGGGACAGTTTATTGAGTTCTTCAACCTCTGTTGGGTCTTGGCAGTACCGCACATTCGGGGCGTGTCTCATGCCATTTGTGGGGAGTGATTTTTGACAAATCATTTCAACAACTTCCATTACTTCCATATTATTCTATATCCAAACACTCAATGTATCTCAAACACTCCATGGGACTGGGATCTTTACCTACCATTTATTGATCCCTCACACCACTCCTGGCCGTTTCTCGTTCCATCTGCCAGTCATGGGACTGGGATATGGACATGGGTCCATGGGGGAAGGTTTGCCGGCTCAGAGTCCAGGAAAAACACACCACCACCACCACCACCACCACAACATCAACAACAACAACAACAACAACAACAAACAGCACCACCACAACACGACTTGCGGACAAACCTCCCTCTTCGCTGGGTCGGTGGCGCTGGAAAATGCCACCCTGAACCCAGGTGCCACCCTCACCCAAAAGGATGCGATCAATCAGTGTGGCAAGTTTTGGAACTGTCGCTCGGGGATCACATCTGTGACCTTGCCAGGCTGTGGGGCTCAACACACATCCAAACACTCCTTTAAAAAAAGCAAAACGCTTTTGTTTGCCTGGCAGTACTCTCAGTTTGAGGTGACTTTGGACCTTTCTCAAAACGGTGCTCTTCTTGCCAGGTTTTACTCCGACACTTGGAGAACAAACTCACTGCGCCAGGGGCAGAGCCGCTTCAAACCTGATCGAACCGAAACCCATCCATCTGAAACCATCATTCATGTAGACTCTTGATGACTAAACCCATATGAAGAGGTGTTTCAACTCATTCCTGGGCTGCTGAAAACCCCTGCCTCCCTTGTTTCGTACCTTCCTGCTCTCCGTCCTTCCTCCTTCGCATCCTCGCGCACGCACTGGGCTTCCCCCGGCTCTCCGTCTCGCCCGGTGCGCCCGATCCGGTGACAGTACTGCCTCCGCGGCAGTGGTGCAGTCGCGAAGTCCTCCAAAATCCGAGGCATGAAACACTGTGAAGAAACACTTAGTAAGGTTAACATGGCGTCTTTTGGGCTGGCCGGTTGCAAGGAAGGCTGCAGTCGACTGAATACACCACTGACTCAACACATGGTTGCAGTTGAACCTGCCGTGATGCACGGCTTGACGTTCTAACATCTAACAACCATCCTTTGGGGCCGCGTGGAGCGACGACCTGCAGAGGTATCTGAAGACCTGAGGTACCTGCAGAGGGCCCTGAAACTCGTAGGTTTCTCCGTGGGTTTCCATGGGTTTCTCCATTTGTTTCAAGTACTTTGGCGGCCCGAATTTGGGGGCTGTGTGAGGTAACGTTTTGATACAATCATTTTTTGGGGGGGCAAACTGGTGAACCATAGATTGACAATCTCAACAAACCAGTGATTCAAGTGAGCCCTGAACCAGCAGGAAAGTCCCAAACAGCACAAATTCGACGTCTTCGAATGGATGAATTTCTGTGTCTTCGAATGTGGATCTACCGTTGAAACAACGGCTCCGAGTCTGATTGATTTTTCGGAGCCGCCAATTCTGCCGTGCATTGAACGTTTCAATTTTCTTGTGGAACACCGAGGCACTCCAAATTCGAGGGGAAGTCATAGTTCACCACGTAACGCCTTGAGCGGTGACCAATTCGGAAGAGGCCTTCCATTGGTAATATATATATATATATATATCTGCAGCGCATATAATCTATCCATAGAAAGGGGGCAACCCAAATCCTGCCTTTCAACAACCTGCTTTGACCAGGCGGTTGGTTCTCAAGAGAAAATATTGTTTTTCTCAAACACTTAAAGGTGCACCGGGGGTTGGTTGACCACCGAACGTGAACAGAATAGACCACCTATACAGGAGGTCAACCGATTTCCGGGCGATGTCCGGGTTCCAGGGAAGTCATCCACAAAGGCGAAGCCCCAGTCCACCAGGGGGAATAGTGCGTAGAGGCCTCTCAGGACCCAGTTCAGGTTTGCCGATAGCAGCAAGCGCAGCTGCCGCTTCATACTCATCAGAGCGAACTTCCAGGGAGGCTTTGTCTGCCTTCCGATTCAATTCTTCCATGTCCGGCTGGGGATAGTCTCACCGTGCCCTCCTGCACTGGCTATGTTGATCAAAGAGGGAGTCGCGTGACAGGACACACTCTTCAAAGCTTGCAGTGCTCCACGCACTGTCTGATATCCCGGTGGGACATTTGTGCGACTTTTGTGAACATGAGCATTCTGCACCATCCACCTGGATCCAACAACCAAAAAACAAAAGGGCTTTACGGGCCGAGGGTAGGTCTTTCTAGTTCTCTAGAGTACGAACATCTACACAAGAATTTGCAATATGTTGAAGCTGTTCTTCATCTTCAAAAACCCTTTTTGAAATCTCCCTTCTGGCGCTTTGGCCTCCAGTACTTATAGGTGGTCTTTTGAGGAATATGCTCCTCGTCTTCTGGCCTCCAGAGGCCATCTGCTCTTCACTCATCCCTTCCACCCCCTTGGAGCTCCGGGCAGGTGCTTCACGTGGAGCCCCCTGGCCGCCACGTCGGTGGCCACCAGCACCGGCAAGCGCCCCGCCTGGACACGACGACGACCAAGCAGCAGAAGACACGAGCGCCCGGTGTGGTCCCACCCAGGGAAGGTGGATCTCCTCTCCCCCACTATTTCCATGGACTCTGGAAACAGAAGATGTGTTGAATGTGTTCTCTCTGTGAACTGCTTAGTTTCAATAGTCGCAATTTTTGTTTGAATGCGTCCCTATACAGCAAACTTGGCAAAGGCATGCAGGCATGCAACATCTTCATGGATTCACAGAACGCTCCAAACAATTCTGCCCGAAATGATTTCTGTATGTCCCTACGACTCTGTTATGTCCCTCAAATTCCGTCATCGAACGATGAGCTCCTGAACTCCTTTGGAAAAAGAAAAGGCTAAAGAATGACGTCAAACTGGGACATATATAATACTACCTACGATACTGATATGTCATGTTGATTCATGTTGTATCATGATGCATTTATATGCATGTCATATCTACCTACGCATATGACTTCAAGCCGGTACAAACCAGTTCAACAAGTGTCCATCAGCTGCTGGTGCAGCCAGTGCTGGCGAGGCGAAAACCCGTGACTCGTGACCACCCGTCGTGCTGGACGACGACCTTGAACATGTTCAAGGCATTCTCTCGCTTGGCCTGCCAGGAGAGGTTCTTTGGGTGACCGGGACCATAGGACCCGGATTACCGGACGGCACCCCACTGATAGGTGAACATAGTCGAACAGTCGGGTCCTTCAACCTGTGTTGGTGTGAGAAGAATGTGACCGAAACGCCCAATTTGGGTGAATAAGTATGGCCGAAGGTTGTTCTTCTTGTCAGCGGTTGTCCGGGGTGCAGGGAGAAAGCCAAGCTAAAGCATTGAAAGATTTGGCTGTGGGTCTTTTTTGATATGTTGTCCCTTTTGTTGGGAGAGTTGGACCATTCTTA